AAAAAAAAGTTTAAAGCACCAAAATGTAACAAGAATCCCTTACAGAGAGGAAGCCAAAAAACTAAAGAAAGGTAGCTCCACAAACTCTAAGTTCGGATACAAAAACCGAGTAGCATTTATTATACAACGAAAGCTTCTTGGATCCAGCCATAAGTGGAGGATGTGACTGCACCATGGACCGTCAAGGAACCGAGGCTTTGGGACTCCATCTGGGTTTGAATCCTCATTGCCTTCTATGTGGCTGACCTTCAACATTTTACTCAAATCCTCTGAGCCTCAGTTTTCTCATCTGTGAAACTGGAACAATCTGCAAAGTGAGGTCACTGTGACTGATGCATTAGATAATAATGTAATAATACAATATCTTACTCAACAAATAAGTTAAAGACCTTAAGTGTAAGTTATCGAAGACATTGGTCCTGTCCCCTGATGGACACACTTTATAGTAAGGACTTCAGGCCATTCTGAAAAGAAGATAAATAGTGTTTAATAGTGTTTAATAGTGAGTAGTCATTTAGCTAGCAGAGAAACATTTGATATAGTTTAGAAGGTTTAATCCTAAAAGTGTCTAATTTTAAAGAAACGAGGAGTATTTTAAGAAGGTAAAATCATAACATGAAAAATTAGATTCTATGGTAAGGGTCTGATACTAAGTCACAGAAATGCAGTGTATCTTGATGTGTTGGGTGCTTATTAACGGAGTAGCAAAAACTCAGCTATATCTTATAACAATAAAACAGTTATCTAATTCACATAAGCACCATCGAAGAGAATATTGCCAACGGCCCATTTGAAAGTGAGAAAATTGAGGTTGGCAGCAGTGACAAGAACTTGTTTGACGGAGTGCAGCCAGGATTGGGACTCAGCTCTGGCAGCCTCTGTAATGTGTGCAGGATGTGGCTGGGATACCCTGCTGAGCTCACCACAGACAGAGAGGGTGTGATGGGGCCCCAGAGGGGAACTTTCACTTCCTTCCCAGAACTACATAGGGTGGGAGTTGTGCATGTGAGGGGGATTCCTGCCTGACTTATCCCCACCCAAACACACCCAAATACACGCATACACACGCACACACACATACACGCATGCACACACACACACACACCCAAACACACACATACATGCACACACACGTACACCCAAATGCATACATACATGCACACACACGCATAGTGCTGGTTTCCTCTTGGAGGGGACCTACTGCAGTCCTTGTCTGTGAGCTCTTACAGGTAGAGGCAGGCAGATCTTACTTGGGTCCTTTAAAATTTCTAATTAAAATTTTTGCCCTGTATCAAACTAATAGATGTTCTTTGTTTAAAAAAAAATGTAATGGAGAGGTTAATAAAAAAAAAACTCTAACAATTGCTCATAATGTCTAGTACATTAAGTGCTAATCTCTTTTACACATTTGTGGGCATTTGCTTTATATTACTGAGATTTTACTGAATGTGTGATTTTAAGTGCTGTGTTTTCACTACCAAACATTATGCCATGACCATTTTCCCATATACAAGTATAAAAGCTCTTTGATTTAATTACTAAGTTGTTTCCTTTTCTTTGCTGGGATAAACCATATGAACATAAATATCTACTTTTCATATATTTCTCCTTAGCTTGTATTCCAGCAAGTGGAATGGCTGGATCAAAGGCTAGGACTATGTTTTAGGGTTTTGATACATTCATGAGTTGTGGCTGTGACAATTTACCTTCTCCCCAGTCAAGCGTTCCTCTCAGAGCCTCTTGACAGAATCAAGCATTAGATTTTAAATCATTGATAATTCTGTGGACGGGAAATATGTAATTATTCGACTTTGCATTTTCTTGATTACTAGTGAGGCTGAATATACTGTCATGCTTATTTACAAAGTGCATGTTCTTTTGGCTGAATGTTTTGTTCATGCTGCTTCTCATTCAGAAAGGTGTTTTATGTTTTTTTTTTATTGATTTCCTTGAACTCTTTATACACAAAAGACAACAACGTCTTTTCATGTGTATTGCAAACATTTTCTCCTTGGGCCCTTTTCTGGTTCTTTCTCATTAGCACAGAAACATAGCTTGACTTATCTGATTGGCAAGTTGGCAGCTTTTAAGAAAACCACACTGTGGCTCTGCATATTTTAAAAGGCGTGGAGAGAAGAAGCAGGGGGAGCTGTGAGTAATGAGGAACATGGGCTGGGAGTTGGGAGGGTGGGGTCCAGAGGAACACAGAGACATCAATGGCGGCAGACACTGCAGCCTTGGCCAAGAGCCTCTCCCTTTTCCCCTCAGGACACACATCTTTTTGAGAGAATCCATGAGTGAGGATGTTTGAAGGCTGAGAGACAGAAGGTCTAAGGCTGTCTGCTACGATTGAGCCGCTAGGCCCTCTTCTGTCTAGACTTTACTAAAGGCTGGCTCTGGCCATGCCAGGCAGAGCAAAGGGTGTCCAAGGTCAATGAGGCTGTGGGACTCATGCTAGACCCAGAGCTGCAGCCTAGGCCCCTAGCTTATAGCAGCACCTCATCCGGGAGTAGATAGGTCGTAAGCATTCAGAATGGTCTGACTCTGGTAACTTTCTAACAGTATCTTTAAGAGAGGAAGAGTAGCACAGAAACCCGGCAGGAACACTGGGTGGGCTGGGGTAGTTGGAAGTGACCATAAGCAAAATCTTATGTATTGGTGACAGCTCTGAGAGTCCACCTAGTACAGACTAGGATTGAGACACATGAAGAGGCTTCAGACTGGCGGTGGGGGAAGAAAAGAAGAGGAAGAAAGAAAGGAAGAAAGGAAGAAAAAAAAGGAAGAAAGAAAAGAAGAAAGGAGACAGCGAAGGAAGGAGGGAGGGAAGAAAGAAGGAAAGAAAGAAAGAAAGAAAGAAAGAAAGAAAGAAAGAAAGAAAGAAAGAAAGAAAGAAAGAAAAAACACATAGAGAAATGTCAGAATGGGGTTGGTTTGAATCTCAGGCAGGGAAGAATCAGTGAAAAGGACACAGCCAGCACATAAGTCAGCCTGGGTGGTTCTAACACTTAAGCAAGTGTGATTTTTCCAGAAAAACACATCCCAGCAGACATAGGAATATACAGATAGTAACAATTTCCTGAGGACCTAGAATGTGCCAGGCCTGGTGCTGTGTTGGGCCCTCCCATGTGAGGTTACTGATATGTCACAGTATCCTTACAGGGTAGGTGGCATTTTGTTTCTGACTTTTTTTTCTTCCTTTTCCCTTTTC